AGCAGTGGCTGAATCTGGACGCCAGTTCCGACTTACATACAGATTCAACTTAAGAACAAACCTACAGTCCCTATCTTGTACGTAACCCGGGGACTGCCTGTATTGCAAAGAGAAAATTACTGTGTAACACACTCCAGATTATTGCTCCTAGTTCCGATTTTGTCACGGTTTCCCTCAATATGATCAGGGTTGATTGTTGCTAATGAAATTTCATATAAAACCTCTAAAAGTCTTACAGTGCCATCAGTCTGTCCAGAAGTTTTCACTGGTGAAGGAAATGTGGGGGTAGATCACATGATCCCAGACCTCACTATGGAAACTGTCACATTTCGTTTTTAGCACATTTCAGATAACTTGTTTGTTATCACTGTGGAAGAGTGATTCAACAGTTATTTCAGTTGTTATTGTAGGGAATGTTTAGAGAAATACTCGGAGAGAAAAATATATATATATATAAGACTTATTTGCCTATCATATCCATACAAATAATTGACCAGTGTTCCTAAAAAATAGAATGTAACATGGAAGAAAGAAGCTCTGTCATGCACCCGGCAAAAGTCTGAAAAACGAAATGGGGTTTATGTTAATAGTTAAAAGCAAGACCATAAGCTGAATGGATTAATTGGTTTCAGTTGACACTTCATCTTGCATATTCTCTACGTGATGTGTATAGCTTCCATTAACTATTTATGGGTCTTACTCCTACATTTCCAGGGGAGAATCTACCTCAAAGTCTAAAGGCTATTTGAAATCCAAAAGTTCCTCCTTAATTTGGAGAGCAAAACCTATCCCCTGCCCCAACTTCCTATTTTATTTTAAAATTTAGCCTGTAGTCCTGACTTTCATTTTAATTACTATTTGATAGTCATTATGACAGTAATGACGAGTTAAGATCAGGGTCCTGATGTGCAACATACTGCAGAAACACATGTGAGGGCATACATCAACTTTAGGGTTAGTTCTTTACAGTTTATTTTTTTGAATTATGTTATCAGTGCATTGAACAATTACTGTACATTTTAGAGTAAACTGCAGTCCATTTGGGGACTAATTAATAATAGGATCAACATTTCCAGAAGTGCCCACTACTTTTGGGTATCTAATTGAGACTTATGATCACTTTTGAAAATATGTTGTCCTTATTTTACAGTAAAACTCCGATGGTCCAATGCCATCAGGAACCCAGAAGTGCTCCAGGCAGCCAACCATTGGAGCTGCTCTGCCCCCGGCTTCCCCGATTCAGCCGCTGCTGAAACTGACCAGCAGCGGCTGAATCGGGGAAGCCGGGGGCAGAGCAGCTGGGGCGCTGCCGGTTGGTCCAGTAGCGCTGAGGAGCGGCGCTGCGGGACCACCCCGGCAGCACCCCAGTTGTCCCCGATTCAGCCGCTGCTGAAACTGACCAGCAGCGGCTGAATCGGGGAAGCCGGGGGCAGAGCAGCTGGGGCGCTGCCGGTTGGTCCAGTAGCGCTGAGGAGCGGCGCTGCGGGACCACCCCGGCAGCACCCCAGTTGTCCCCGATTCAGCCGCTGCTGAAACTGACCAGCAGCGGCTGAATCGGGGAAGCCGGGGGCAGAGCAGCTGGGGCGCTGCCGGTTGGTCCAGTAGCGCTGAGGAGCGGCGCTGCGGGACCACCCCGGCAGCACCCCAGTTGTCCCCGATTCAGCCGCTGCTGAAACTGACCAGCAGCGGCTGAATCAGGGACGCCTGGGGCAGAGCCGAACTATCGGAACGGGGGGCTATGAGGGGTCTGGGGTGGCATCCCCCCACCCCAGACCCCTCATAGCCCCCCCTTCCGATAGTCTGGCATATCTGATAATCCGGCACCCCCTGGGTCCTAAAGGTGCCGGATTATCGGAAGTTACTGTATTTAGAATGGGCAAGAGTGTGTTGTATCTTAAAATACAAGCACTAGCAGTTTTTAATAAAATTCATTGGATCTTGTACCAGTTGTTTTGTTGGTTTTACGAAAATGTTTATGTAGACACTGGGTGTCCAGTGCCATGCTAACTTCAAACAATTAGTCCTAGTGAGAAAAAGAGTTGCATGATAATTCAGGGGCTGATAAGAAGGAATTCATTAGAGTTTAATTTCTTGGGGGGGAAACGTCAAAATAGTTTGAACGTCACCACAGCTTCTTTGTTTTTAAATCTAAGAAATGAATGTGATGTCTTAGTAGGTCTGGCTAATATATTATCTCTGTGGGCTTTTCTGTGTAATTTGAGTTTGTCTGTGCAGAAGTTTTGATATATAATGGAAGTGTATAAAATGCTACTTGATGTGAGATGTTTGTAATAATAAAAGAAAACATTTCTTTTAGTGGATGGTCTGAAAAGTTTCTGTGCAAATTTGGTTGGTTAGATATTTTCATTCCGTCTTTCAGAATGCCAAAGGCATTTAATCATATCACAGACAAAATAGCTGCTAGCCAATTTTTATATTAAAGCTGTTTTAAATGTTTAAGAAATAAGAGTTTAGCTCGCGAACTTTGTATTCTGATTATACCCTTAAAACGTAAATGACCTATTTTGTATGTGAGTGAGAGTGGTTTGCCTACTTAACAATTATCACATACTAGCATATTTACATACATGGCATTGCTTGGGCCCTTAACTCAATTACTTTTTTAAAATAAAAGGAAAATGTACTTGCTTTATTTAAATTATTGTATTTTTCAACAATGTTGTTTTGATTCATTTTTTGTCAGGTTTCTTTTAAAAGGGGATTGTTAATTTTTTTTCCATTTAATTGTTTTTAGTAAATGTTTTTAAATTGGAATTCCATCAAGTGTATTTTTTCTTCATCCCTATAAACTCTTATAATTTGCTGTTTGACTATAGCGCTTTTTTATTTCTCTGTGTATTGAGAAGCATTCCTAGTGCAGGCTCATCCTATTTTTCTGGCTCATCTTGGTTCAGTCCAGGGGTGAAAGTAACTTAAATTTCTTTCAGGTACTGTTGTATTGCAACTTCTCCTGGGGAGCCTTCAGGGTAAGAGGTTGTGGGAGGTTGTGATACAACAGACCCTCACTGAAAGCACACCTGGCGGCCATCTCTTCTTTACAAGTGGGGGAAGCTGGCCACTCGGTCTTTGCAAGCCCCCTGGTTGGGCACTTCCTCAAGGGAATGGACAGACTCTGCTCCCCAGCCTGGCACCCTGTTACTTGGGCTCTCAACTTGGTTCTTTCTGTGTTCATGGGTTCCCTCTTTGAACTCTTGGCTATATGCTCCCTGCTTTACCTGTCATGGAAAGTGGCTTTTCTGGTTACTATCACCTTACCTCGATGGGTGTTAGAACTTCATGTCCTTATGTTGGAACCCCTATACACTGTCTTACACAATGACAAAGTCCAGCTTTGCCTTCACTCGACTTTTCTTCCAAAAGTGGTCTCCAGCTTCCACACCAGGTAGGACATTTTTCATCCCGTATTCTACCTGAAGCTCCACCTGAGATTATGGGAACAATTGCACTCCTTTGACGTGAGGCTTGTACTTCTACGTTGACAGGTTTGAACCCTTTCACAAGTCCTCACAACTGTTCGTGGCAGATCACGTGAGGGTATCAGTCTTATTGCAGTATATGTTTTCCTGGGTAACAGCGTGTATCCGCTTGTGTTATGCTATGGCCAAGGCTTCCCCTCTGCCTCCTATGATGCATTCTGTGCAAGCGCAGGCCTCTTTGGTGGCTTTCATGGCTCATGTAATCCCAGGAAATGGATAAAGCTGCAACATGGTCTTCAGTGCATACCTTCACATTGCGCTGTGCCATCGTGCAACAATCAAGACAGGACACACTCTTCAGTACTGCGGTTCTCAAGTAAGAACTTGAAGAAGAAAAATGGCTATTCACCTTTGTAACTGTTGTTCTTTTGATATGTGTTGCTCATATCTATTCCGTACCCACCTTCCTCTTCCACTGTGGGTATGTCTACACTACAGCGCTAATTCGAACTAGCGCATCCAGACTTAAAAACTAGTTCGAATTAGCGTTTTGCTAATTCGAACTAGCATGTCCAAATTGAGTGGACCCTGAACTGAGGTTAAGGATGGCCGGAAGCAGTGCCAGCAGGGCATCAGATTAGGACTTAGAGCGTGGAGCTGCTGTCTCAGGCTAGCTGAGGGCTGTGCTTAAAGGGACG